TAATGGTGGGCACATAGGCACATCCTAATCCATTGTAGCCAAACGATCCCAAGTATGAGTTGATGGAATCCATGTGAATGCATTTTTCCAGTAGGAAGGCTTTATGTTTAACTTGATAAATACAACTTGTCAAGTTATAACTTGTACTAGATAGAATCAGTCACAAATGACACTGAATAAGAAATTTTAAAGGGTAAAATAAAATTAAAAAGGTAATATAAAAATAAAGAGGTAGATAAAAATAAAAGTTGAATCTCTGCATTCTCATAAATCACAGAATAAAAAGTAAAAGAAAAAACAAAATGCAATGTTTTACTAAATTGAACAGTTGTTTTGAGGTCTGCAGACAACCTTAGAATGGTTGAATTTCTGGCCTCTTGAAACTTACATTTTGAGATGTAGACAGTATTTGCTGACCTTCTCCTGACCCAAAGCACTTTGCTCTGGTAGCAGAAAGTTAACTGAAGATAAACAAGGGTCAGGTGACCTCTTAATGTTTGGACTTACTGGCTTCATTTCCCAGATGGCTACAGAAGGTGCATTGTACAAGTCCCTAGAAAAAGGCGAACTATACTCTTATTGAAAATATTATGAACAAAGGCTAATTTTGTTGCTATTGAGAAAAAGGCAGGCTTCTCACTGATGAGTTAATCCTTTCTTACTCCAGCAGTAACACTATTGTCCACACTAACTGAAGGTTTGGAATATCATTTGAGAGTGATGGGTATGCTCTAAATAATTACACTGGGACAATGGGACACATAGAGACAGATGCAGGGTCATGCTATGTATACAAGGTCCCCTCCCTCTGCATTCCAGCACTGAGAGGTCCCTCTCCAGGTTTCATCTTCCAGTGGGTCCTTGCTCCATCTTCATCAGCCTCTGTTGTGAACCCCTGGCTTCTGGATCCCTCTCCCATTGTTCACCTGCTTCCAGGGCCTCTGTGCCTCTCTGACAGTCTCACTGCATTTCTCCTCTGGGACTTCCAGGGCATACTGCCATCCTGCCACTTTAACAAGCACGTCCATAGCTCTGCAGTCTGCCTCCAAGAGCCAGCCTTGTTCAGGCTCTGGTATCCCTGGCCCAAGGAGAGCCAGGGGGCCTCTGCTTTCCCGAACAGAGAGGTCAGGCAGACTACTGGAGGATCTGACCACATACACTTTCCTCCAGGCTTTGCTGATCCTCTCTGTCACCCAAAGGGCTACTTTACTCCAAGGGCTCAACTAAGTGAGGCTTCTACCCATCCGCAAACCATCCTCAGCCCATGGCAGTATGAGACATAAGAGAATCAGCACGAGTGTAAATCTGAAGAGAAAAAAATGCTTCAGAAGGGCCAATGGGGAGAAGAGAAATGGAAATTTACTGCCAATTTTAAAGAAAGGTACAATGCAATTACTTAGTAAAAGAGCTTTCTAGCTGGTAACTAGGACAATACATGCTAGAATAGGTCCTTAAGAAAAATTCCTGTCACTAGGCAGGATTATTATATCTTTTAATTAATTACATCCTTCACATACTTATTGTCATCCCCTCCTGAAGCCTCAAGAGTTGTGGGCTCTTCTTTACTCTCTAAGCCACAGGTTTCTTTCCTCTTCCACCACACTGGACTCTGCTGCTGTTAGGGAACATGCTTACTTGTCCCAGAATATGGCCCATGACAATAAGCCAGAAGGAGAAAGAGAGAGAAAGAATGAAAAAAATGGAGCCCTTATAAGTTGGTCCCTGCTTATCTCATTCCCTGGCCCCATACCAGACTCCTCCTCAATACAGGAGAAGAGAAGAGAAAGGAGGTGAAAAGGAGATGGAAAGGTTTACATAAGGCGACAGTTATTTCAAAGAGGTTTCAGAACTCTCCTGGGAAAGTCACAGAGGATTCTCATTCTGGATTCCACGCAGTCCCTCTCCCATTTCTTCACCCATCTCGCCAGGAGCCCAGCTATCTCGCCTCTAGTTGCTCCACTGTGCTGTCTTGTGTACACCGCCTCAGCTGCAGTCTTGGGTCACTGCAGGGTATACAAGTGCGTGCATGTGCGTGCGTGTGATGCAGAAGGCTGTATGCACTGAGGGTGGGGATGGGTGGGAAAGTTCTGCTTCCCCATCCTACTCTCCCTGCTCCATTACCTCTGACCCCAGAGCTTCATGTTCTCTCCATTCTACCTTGGACCCACATGTGCCTCACCAGTTGCTCTTCCTGTCTGAGGCAGCTACGTTAGAGCTGCACAGAGAATCTACAAGAAGGGTGGTTTAGAGTGAAGGCACGCTGGTTCATATGTCAGTAGCTATTGCCCAGCAACTCAAATACTGTGTGCAACATCCAGGGCTATGGAATGGAAACAAACACTGTTTGCTGGGAGAATGGACTTACAAGCCAACTGCCTCGGTTTGAATGCTGGCTTCTTGGGAGAGGAATGTAATATATGCACTCATTTATAAAATGGGGGTAATAATTAAATCTACTTTATAAGATTGTGATGATAAAGATATAATTTACAGATAGCACTTTGCACAGTGTAAGTGCTGGTTTGTGTTGAGTATTATTATTATACTGAATGGGGTTAATGCCTAAAGGAATTTCTTAAAGACAAGCAATGATAGCAGAATTCCAGGCTCATCTCCTTGCTGTGTAAGTTATAGCTTGATTCACAGGGAACTTTGATTCACAAGCAACTGAGGCAGGCCCTTCATTTGCAGTATTCAAGTGCTAATGCATGCTTTCCCAGGTGCTGGGAATAGATCTGTGAGCCTAATAGGCTCAGTCCTGTCCACAAGCAGTTCACGTGCAACACAGCATGTGCTTTTCCTGCTTCTGCCCTGTGCACCTCCTGCCTGAAATGCTTGTCCAGTCCTTCATCTGTAATTCCCACTTACAAACCAACACTTTGTTTTGATGACTTAGCTATGTCCAACAGGACCAGAGGTCTTTTCTTATAAACATTGCAAACTGTTACTATGAAGTCATCATAAGAAATTGTGATTTACAATTTCTGTAGTGGCCATCTACACTAGTCTGTGATCCTACTGTGAGCTCAAAAATCCCTGTTATTCATCTTTGTTAATTTGGTAATGACTGGGTCCATAACAGGTTCTTAAACGTGCTTGACTTACACTATCTATTTCATTAGAATTCTTATGGATCTATCTCCTTCTGTTTTTCATGCTCAGAGGGGATCTAGCGATGCGGGACAGCAGCAGGTAGGGAGAAGAGGGGGAAGTAAAAAGGATTAAGATGTGATATGTATATGTATCAACTCCCTACTGTAAATGTATTCATTATCAAAAATACGTACTAACATCCCCCAAAAGACATTAAAAAATTCTACTCATCTCTGTAGCCCCTTTTTCCTGTAGCACTGATATTCAACAAATATTTGTTAAATGGAGAAAAAGAATTAATGAACTAATCTGTCCTTTTCCATAACATGGAAGAACTTAATCAGAGTGATTGGGAAGATTAGTATGAAGTATCCCAAAGATGTTTTCCATGAAGTTTAGCTTTCACTCTCAAGTATACCCAGTTGTCTCAAACTGATAATCTATTTCTGAATCCTGTTGTCATCAAAGAATAAATAAGAGTCCTCTGTGATTAGCAGGGCCATCTGCATACACACACTTGATTTTCAACTGCATGTTTACACACAGCCCTGATCAGGCACAAAAAGCCAGTCCCCTGGATGGTTCCCAGGTGCACATTCTGACTGGCCAGCCGGGAGGGGGTGTGCTCAGAGCTGCCCTCAGATACCTGTACTACAGAGCACCAGCTTATCTGTGCTTTTTGAACAGATAAGCAAAGAGAGCTGAGAACCACCCATAGAACAGTTCCCTGCAATAAATTCCTTCTGCAAGGTCAGGTCAAAATGCCTTTCAGTTCTGAAATGAATGGGAGTTTAGTTTGTGGAGGTTATGATGACATGGTGGGGAATGACTCAGGGACTCTTTTCGTGACTCTCTATAACAGTGAAGGAAAAAAAAAAAGTGAGGCGGTCAGTTGGTCAGTCAAGGATATTTACCCAGGGCCTGTTACGTGTCTGGTGTTGTTTACAGTGCCAGGAAGAAAGCAAGGTGTAAGCCAGCATTCTGACATCCTGAAGTTTATACGTTAGTGGACATGGGAAATAAACAATCCCCCAAAAGAGTATGTTAATGAAATGAATTCAAGTACCGGTAAAAGCAAGAAGATGTAGTAAGAGTTCTGGAAGAGATTCACAGAGGTGCGCATGGGCAAGAAGGACGGTAGGGGAGCTGTTAGCCAGGGCAGTAACAGCAGGATGCACAGAGGAAAGCTTGCACGGATGTCTGAATGGTGATAAGATGGTAGCTCAGAGATGATCTCAGGGAGTGATAGCCTAAGCAGAACACTAAGTGCACTGTCACTGAGATAGGGAACGACCTCGGGGTGTTTGGGAAACCCGAGGAAGTGTGTATGTTTGGACAGGTTCCAGTGTGGAGCAAAGGGAAGGTAATGTGAAGCTGGTGGCGGAGGCAGGAGGACTGGATTCTATTCTGGTTGCAACAGGTCTTTGTAAAAAGCAGTGGCCTTTGGGGCATTCTGGCTACTAAGAGTAGAAGGGACTGAAGAAGACCCGGGCAGGTGGAGGCAGGGAGACCAGCAAGGAAACTCTCACTGTCCAAGCGAACCTGAGGTGGCTCAGATTGGGGTTTAGGGGGTGGCGCTGGTACAGAATGGTTGCTTTGGGATGTATTTCAGGTAGAGTGGACAATCTCTCTCTCACCGATTCAGTGTGCAGGGTAAGAGGACTACGGCTGCCCTTACCGAAGACCTTGAGGTGGATGGACGCATCCTGCTCCCCAGCTTTGTTCTCAGCAATGCAGACGTACTCAGCTTCGTCATTCTTATCCACTTTCCGGATGGTCAGCTCAGAACTGTCATCACTGAAGATGTACTTCTCGTCATCTTCCTCATTCTCTATTGGTTCTCCATCTCTACATGGCGCAGAAACACAAGATTGTGATTTGGATCCCAGAGTTAAGAGCTTTAGTTTTAATTCGTTTCCACAAAATGCAGGCTGAGCCAATGGAAAATACTTAGTCTTCACAAAAAGGGAAGACACCAAGTTTACTTTTACATATACCTTTTATTTCTCTCCCCACTCCTCTGACTCTGTCCAAGAGTTGTAAACTGCACTCACAAGGTGGAAGTCCCCTAGGCCACATCTGGACCTGTCCCCACAAGACTGAAACTGAAAAAATAATCCAATGCATAAGGCAAGGGAGCCTTATAGAAAAGAATTCACTCTTCACACAGAGTTGATATTTGCAAGAAGCCCAAACTCGTGCCACTGAAATGACGACATGAAGAAGACCCTATGATATTCCCTTCATTTCTAGCCATGATACAAGGCACCAGCCAGTTCCTTACTTTGTCCAGCTCATTGTGGGCTCTGGGAAGCCTTCTGCATCACACACCAGGGTGACAGACTGGCCCAGGTTGGCGGTGGCATTCACAATGCTCTGCCTGGCCTGGACAGTGGGCGGCACTGAAGGAAAGAAAGATGTCAAAGGTTATTGTGAAAAGGGTGAATACAACAGCTTGGAGAAGAGACACTTCAATGGTTCCCAGGTCAGGGAGTCTCACTTAGGGGTCACGGGTTCTGGATGGCTGTAGAGTTGGTGTTAAGGGATCTAAATACATCTGTGCAGTAAATAATGTAAACAGCAGAAACAGTTTGCCCACAAACATGCATTATTATTTCTCAGGAGTTTAGAAGTTATGATGTTACATTTTATTAATGCTAGAATGGTAGTTGATTTATAGTTATTATAGCTATTTGTCATTATATATTTTCTCAATCAGTGCATACTAAATAATTACCAATGTTGGTCAAACTTGACATTAAAAATGGGCTTTTGATACTGGAAAAAACTAAAATTACTCTCTCTGATAGTAACAAGGTTAATACCATGTTGAAGTGAGCTAGCTCACCATACTGACATTTCTGTGGAATCATCATCAAAAACCTTGTTCACAAACTGCTTTTACCAAAGGGATGAGAGGGGGAGAGTTTGGCAAATATATATATATATATATATAATCAATCGCCCAAACAATTCAAACACCATTTACTTATTTTCTTAGTACTGACATTATAATTTCCTGTAAACATCTTGTAAATGTCAGATCGATTCTATGGGTGTGTTTATTGGACACTGCAAATTAAGATTAATAAGCCCATGGACCATGATTCTGACTATTCTGAGAACTGAATTGATTGCAGTATTTTCTCTGCACATTGAACCAAGGGTACCAACTTCACAATTATGATAACATCAAGGACAATGAGGATGAATAAGAACTTATTAGTAAGGATGGGGAAAATTTCTAGTGATACCAGATAATGAAGGACATGTAATAACTGCACTGACAGCCCCCATAGTTGAGGAGAGACCTGAAAAACAAGTGCATTAAACATGGAAAAACAGCAAGAAAAACCTCCAGAGGTTATGGTGGGGAAAGGATTCAGATGTGATGTATGTACAAATCAAGACAGGATTTATTATACAGACAAAAAAGGAAGTTAAAGAAAATGACTGGACTGGAGGGAGGGGTGCAAGGAGGTAGCAAAGGAAGAATGGATCTCCTCCTCCTCACCATTCACAACGACCTGAATGTCCTTGAAGTTGATCTCCCCCCTTGCCAGGATTCTGCCCTCACAGCGGTAAGTGCCCTCATCTGTTTTCTTGATGCCTCGGATCTGCAGGTAGTTGTTGGACAGGACTATGAATCGGACTAGAAAAGACAAGAGGCAGGTTCATTCAAGGATCAGTCAGAGATCTCTGGATTCTGCAGGCAGGTAGATGAGCCTCTTTCCTCTTCCTAATTTCAGTCTTATGGAGTGAGGCTTTAGGGTGAAATACAAAAATATGTTCTTGGCTCTGAAATAGAGTCAAGAGCACAGTCCACTGGAAATCTCTCTTTTGCTCTGGAGAGAAGATCAGGTGTCTATAGACCATACATGCATATGGATTCCCAGGGCACCTAAATCTGGGTTTGGACTAGAGAGTCTCAGAGGATGGGATGCCTAGGGAACTTGGAAGCCCATGGAGAGAGGCACTGACCAAGCAATTCAGTGCTCACCATCTTTTTTCAGAATGACATCTCGGCCTTTGTGTTTCCAGATGATGGTTGGGGGGAGAGAGCTGACCACATCACATACAATCACAGCATCTTCCCCTTCCTTGAACTCCTGAGGAGTCGGTGCATTCTTGAACATGAGCTTTTCTGGAAATTAAGCAGGAGAAGAGTTAGGAAAACAGCAGGTTCTCCCACAAGATCACTTCTTACTAGAGCTGTGCTGCCTGGACTTGAGTTGCAAGCAAATCTCTATCCATATATACAGTTGGACAAAGGAGATTCCCCCAAACACTTGGTCACAGACACCAGTGTAGTAGCCAGAATGAGAAACAAAATATGTCACCAGTGTTCTGCAACACCGAATGCTGAATTCATTACACTTTGTGCAAAACACAGTCTGTATAGAATTTGCTTCCCCAGCGATTCCTTGCTATGTGCAATGATAGGAAAGAAGAACAACATATAGGTACAGTGAATTGGTAGCATGCCTCTTCTGCAGCGATACTAGGAGACATCAGTCCTTTCTTGGTCTCCCATTCTGGTCTCTACCCCAACTTTCCTACAGTAGAGAATTCTGAACAGAAGGAGAGAATGCATAATGGCAATAAATACTGTGGTAATCAATACTGTTCCATTAACTTTACGCACCGTGACTTTGGCTAATAGGGCAGACCAGACACACATTAACAAAGTGGTGAGATGCCACCTCTATATCGGGTTTCAATGGAAGTAGAGCTACCTGCTACGAGTGGCACACGGTGTTCAAATAATCATCCTCACCCCAGTGAGTCTTTGGACTCCATTACCACTGGGGGAAGTAGAATAAGAAAGAGAAGCCTGAATTCCATACCTGTCAGTTAACACTTAGGGAAGGCAAAGAGGGACTCGTAACAGCCCTCTGGAAACTGGGTGATTGAAAAATGGAGGCCAGTTGGGAATAGTGGTGACCAACAGGAGTCAGGTTTGAATTCTGGGTTGGCCAAAGATAATTTGAGAATATGCTAGAACTCTGAATGAGGTCAGAAGACTTGACAGGGAAAGAAAAAGCAAGCTGTAGGACCTCACTGAGCCCTTGAATGCTATCTCACCTTTTCTGCTACCCACCCGGGTAGCAGATCAAGGGGAGGACAGAAAATACAGAAGAGAGAGAGAGTCTCTTACGGAAGATCTTCACATTGACGGTGGCCTCAGACTCACTGCCGTCCTCACCAGTGACCACACACTTGTAAATGCCAGCATCATCGATGTCAGCATTGTAGATCGTGAGAGTGGAGGAAGAGTCATCATTCCACACCACTGAAATCCGCTGCTGGTTTGGGCTGAGCTTTTCTCCACTGGGAGAGAACCAGGAGATGTCCTTGTCTTTGGCATCTCCTGCTACTAAAGATGAAGAGATTATTTTCAAACCACTGAATCGAAAATACAAATTTCTTCCAGAGCGACAGTGACTACTCCGTAGGCATTACTGAACAGCCGGTCAGTCAAGGGTGGACTGTGAGGGAGAGCTGACCATTCACATTAGGATGTCACACTGTTCTCCTCTGGCTTCTGTGTTTAATTATTACATACATAATACCCCCTAGAGTATTTGGAAGGAACTCAAGAACCACTTGTGCTCATTTCCCTTTTGAGGGAAGAAAAATTTATTAAGGACCTATTGTGTGCTGGCCACTAAGCTAGCAGCTTAACATGTCTCACAGAATGGGAAATAAAGGCAATTAGTATGTTTTAAGATCTGTGCTCAAGGACCTAATTGGTCAGTGCCCAGGGACTAGCTTGTTTTTGTGGAATTAGATAGTGATCTCCTGAGCTGGAGACAAAAGTTCTAGTCTAGGAATGCAGATTCCAACCACTCTAGTTACAGCATCTACCTGCCATGACTTCCATTTCAGCACAGCTGCCTCCAACAAACAAACAAACTCATCTCTACGTGCTGCAACGAAGGCAGCCAGCATCACCATTCATTCTTTCCCTGGGTGCCTAAGAAGGGCAAGCTGGTGCTGCTGAGTGTACCAGACACTGGGCTGGAGCAGGGCAAAGGGCTCTGAGATCCCACCGTGTCTCTGCACAGCACTCTTCTCAGCCCGTAATACGCAGCCCTGTGCAGATGCTTCATATGGAAGCGAAGCAGTCTTCCTCTCAGTGCCCGTCACGTTTTCAAGAATACTGCTGTTTGCAAGATGTGATGCAGGCTCCACGACTGCATCTCCAGATCATTGAAACTGCTGTAATGAAGGCAAAGCTGGAGTGAATGCATCCATTGGCCACAGCCATCTCATCTGATGCAAATCATGGTAGCAGTTAAAGGCCTCTCTCTGCCGAAAGCTGCTGGATAATGTCACATTTTACACCCAGCTCAGCTCTTTCCAGGTCCTGCCATGTTGTGAATCCTCGTCATATTACACACAGAGAATTGTAGGCCTAATTGGATGCCTTTTCCTCCCCAGGATATCTGATAATTATCGGAGCTGTGGAAACAGTGCATATGTCCTAAGCAAATAACACAGACACCAGGTCTGACATATCCCAGAAGTCTGGGTAGGGGTCAAGGGAAATAATATTGACTTTCATAGGAGACCTGGAAAATCCAGAATACACATTCTTACAACCAGAGAGATACCAGTATTCAATTCACTTTCAGACAAGTTTTAGTTTCTCTAGGTCTAGGAGATTTGAAGAAATGAACTTTAAATGGGTCCATGGAAGCATTATTTCTAAGCCCGTGCCATGTATTTTACAGAACTGTGGGTATAGACAGCAGAAACTCTGAGATGATGCACTGTCTGGAAGTTGTGCTGATTTTCCTAAGAAAATGCTGCTTCTACTTGTGAAATTGAAGTATAGGTGACTCATGTAACCCACACTGGGGCAGTATTGGAGAGGAAGGAAGAGGGCCCGAGAGCTAGTATTTGAACACACTACTGGTCCCAGAGCAGAGCGATGGCAAGAATTTTAGGTGCCATCAGGCATCTCTCTGTTCTGCCTGATATACTTTCAAGGCAAACTCTGAAATGCAGTTGGATAAAGGGCACTTGCCTTGGCATAAGAAGAATTTGGACTCTCCGACGCTGATTTCCCCTTGGCTGGGAACAATATCCACCTGCAGAGAAACTGAAAAAGACAGTCTAGTTCAAACACACATTCATATTTTGAAATGAAACCCACTGCTTTCATTCAAATCAGGGTCCCCCAGCTCACTTTAAGAAAGAGTAAAAGGTGGAGGTTGCTTGGATTTTGAGAACTAGTCACCACCAATGTATCTTATGTCACAGCCAGTAGTGGACGTGGCTGTCCATTCTGGCATGGAACTTCTGGGTGACCTCTGACTTAAGCATTTCTGATCCTTGAAAAGGCTTGTGGTTCTCTTCCACACAGCCATACCATGGATTCACAGAAACAGCCCAAACAGTCCCTTTCTGGCGGCCACTTTGATGTATCCTCATAACTGTGTTCAAATCAGGAAGTCCATCACTTCAGATCTATGACCACCAGTCCTGAGAATTCTCCCATGCCACCACGCTTTATCACTTGGGGAGACAGAGAGAGTGTCAGCACAAAGATTCAAACTGATTTCAAGGCAGAAGATGCAGACAAATGCCTTCCTTACTTCATGACATCAGGACCGACATGCCTATTTCTATAACAGGAAACATCAAACATCATCACCCCAGTTAGTAAGACAGTCTTCTGAAATCCCGCAGCATGAGCCCTGTGGAGTTTCCTATATCCATAACTGCTTTCTCTGAATTTTTATTTGAATATCCATATGTTCAGTCATTCCAGTGCACTGATAAGAAAACACATTGCACCAGATCTCACTGATTCCTGTCTTTCGTTTGCTCCCTACTTATCTGCTTGGAGCAGATAACTGTTCCTCTCTCACAAAAATATAGTTTTAGGATAGAAAAAAATGTTTTATTCATTTGAATTCAACCTTCTTCTGTCTCTCCTCCTCTTAAATAAAGTAAATGTGAAAGCTGAAGGCTAACAGATATTTGGTTCAATACATGGAGTGCCTCAAAGCCAGTATGAAGGAGGGGCCTGAGCAAAACAGGGTGGGTCAGAGACTCAGTGAGTCCTTCCTTCCAACAGCCATTTTCTTTTCACTGTAGAATGGAGGGAAAGCTCATTGCCATGGCAACTGGCTTGCAGGCTGGGCTGTGCTGCAGCTCTGAGTTTGTGTGCATTTGATGAAGAGACCACGGTTGTGCTTAGCAGAATACAGGGATTAAAGGGCATGCTTGGGGCGGAGAAGATAGTGCCGTGTGTGTGTGGGGGGCACTAGACTATTGGGGGTGCAGCCTTCCTAAACATCTCACAACAGACAAAGCAGGTCACAGAAAACCCAGCAGCGGGGTGGTGGTGGTGGGGGGGGAGAGACCTGAAGCCAGGAATGGAAAAGGAAGTAAGTGGTAAGGGCAAGAAGATGGGCACAGGATAGAGACTGAGAGAGATTGCTGGGCTGCCCTCTGTGACAGTAAGAGGTGGAATCCAGCCTTTTGTAAACACTGGGTTGGAACAATAGTACAGCTATGAGGGGTGGCTTGTCCCACCGTTGCTTGGTCTGCTGCTGACCTCCCTTTGGGCTCAGCATTGAATTCTCAGCTGAGGGTAATAGAGGGTTCTCCCTTTCCTGTCTGAAGCCTGTAGCACCAGGGCAGCACTGGAACATCATGCTGGCCACAAGTGCCAGGGTGACGGGCTGTGGCTGCTCTCCCCATCATGCCTCTCCAGGCGGAGTCTGCTGCTGCTCAGCTCTACACTGCAAGCTCCCAGCAATCTCAAACATTACCCTGCTTTGCCTCATCACTTTCCAGATGAGGTGACTTGTGCCAACATTCCTACAGACTTTTAGTGAGGGCCCAGACCTCTCTGCCCCAGTTAAGGGTGCTCTAAACAATGCAGGGCTGGGATGTTCTTATTCAGTGTTAACAGACAATCTGAGTAACAGCCCTCAGCGTCACCGTTCCTTAAGCAGCAGGCCTGGTGTTGATAAGGCCCTGTGCTATTCTGGGGGAGCCCTGGTGCTTTACAGAGGAGCTGTAGGCCAGTAGGGCCTCTCCTCTCTTTCTGTGGCTCATGTGCCACAGAAATGAATAGCCTATGAAGCCCAGAAGCTGTGCCTGCGCCATTCCTCACCTTAGTAATGATCTTTTCTGGAGTTTACAGGGCATTCTTTGGAGAATTACCGGCATATTTCTGCCTGGAAAGTTCACCGGCCCATATGCTGAGCATTAGCCGCCAGCTTCAACATATGGGTCCCGTTACTGTGGTGGAGCCCTCACTGCTTTGAGAGGGATATTCTTATCCTGAGTGAAAAAACAGCCTTTTCCTTTTTTTGTAAAGCTCTTTTTCCAAAAAGAACATGACTCCTATGGGGCAGCCAGGCCAAAGAGTTTTCATATTCAAACGTGGCCAGGACCTATCTCTGGGCCATGGAGAGAAATGAGAATTTCAAAGGAATTCTCAGCTTAACGGGATTCCATGTACACATTTATCACCATGTAAGTTTTAAAAAGAGGAGACTTCCACGGAGACTCCTGGACTTTTGCATACTTGGAAAAAATAGTGATTCATCCCTTAAAACACCAGACAAGGTTAGCCCAGAGGAACCACAGATGCTTTGCAAGTCGGTGCCTGTATGTTTTACTGTAGCATGATGGCTGATTACTCTTCCACAAATGTTAGGCCTTAAAATGCTAAGCTTTAATAATGGTAAGTGGAAATCCTGCTCCAAACTGGAAACATCCCTCCACATTTTGCTTTCTGCTTCCACTTCCTTAGTACCACTTTCATTGTTTCCAGTAACTGTGCCTACCTCAAGTTTTATCTCTCAAGTTGCTTCCATTTAAGTGAAATTTCCTAGCTAGGTAAAACACATGCCTTTAGAAACTTACAAAAACATTTCTCCCCAATAAAGTACAGTATTTCATCTTCTGCTTTCCATCAACATTCTCTGTATAAACACTGTCATCTTAGTTGCATCCAGAGATGCATGCTTATAGACCCAGGTGTTTGGAACTGCTTGGGTCCCAGGGGTCAGGCGGACATCATCCAGTCATTTCCGGTCCTGCAGCCAGTACCCAATCTCAAGCAACCAGTATTGTAGCCAGCTCACTCTCTCTGGTTTACTAACACATTTCATTATTGCATTTGACCTCACAACAGTTTTGAAAGGCAGGAAAGCAGATAGTAGTATTTTTATCTTTGCATACAGGGAAAACAAGGCCCAGAAAAATGAAATTATTTGCTGAGCTTTACTTAGCTAATAAGCAACAAAGCCAAGAATGAAAATCAACTAATTTCAAGACTTCAGCTCTTTTCTCTATACTCCACGATGACCAACCTTTTTTCAGCCTCCAAATGGGTTTATAATAACCTATTAGTCACTATTTGCTCTCTTTCCAAATCATGGGCTAGAAAGGGTGGAATATTTATTTTTAAAAAATCTTCAAATCAAATTACTGCCAGCTTTTCTCACTTGGCTAAATATAACTGTTCTCTTTGCCCGTAGATAGCAATAGCATTATAACTCCATTTAACAGATGGGGAAATGAAGGCTCAAGACTTTAATTAATGGACAAGATTCAAACCCAGGTTGAATGGAATCCAAAGCTCCAGCCACTTCTTCCACACTATTCTAATTTTCATGGACAGGAAAAAGATTCTGTTGTTTGAGAATTGAATGAGCTCCCTCTCCCTGTCTCACTTAAAAAAGTAAAATAACTGTGGGAGACTGATAGCTTTTAAAATATGTTTTCAATTTAAATGTGTTTTTTTTTTTAAATTGATGAATGTTCTGAAAGAAATGCTGACTCTTTTCAGCACATAGCTTCAGGTATAGATAGAAGTTTTATAACTCCCAACTCCCTAGCAGAAGTAGGCTATAAAGTCTTAGTTCCTGAAGAAAAGTGAATTAAAATTGTAGTTCATAAAGGATGCCAAGGTACTTATCAGAAGAGGTGGGACTCTTGTTAAGGCAAAGCAACAGAGAAGAATTATTTTGATTTCCAAAAGGAGTTCATAGATTTGACTTAAATCAGCAACTTCTTGCAGCAGTTTAATTCTACTGGCTTCTTTTCAGATTCTAATGTGCTCGAGGAGGTAGAAGCTGAGAGTAGAAAGTGAACTCAGGTTTCTCCCATGGCTCGCTGGAAACACTTTCATAGTAAGAGGTTATGAAGACGATGGCTGCTGAGGAAGACAAACAGCAGATGTGCTGTGGGTCTGTCTGATATACGCACATCTGGAAGGGGTTCCCTGGTCACCAATGCAAGAGATGGGTAAGCAACATGGACTAGTCTGTTCCCTGGCTCTGCATGAGATAAGGAATTTTCTAGTACCTATGGCAATAGACTTTTGAGCAAGGCATCAAATTACAGCCTTACACTTATTTTGTTGGCTACTTGTTTTATACAACCACTTGAGTGGAGAGTTGTTTTTTTTTCAAAGTATAAATTAGTACTCAAATCTCTTTTAATTTTACCACACCTGTGGGAAATCCAGTTGTGCAGAGTAGGATAAGAAAGGAGGCACCCCCTCTTGCCTGTGACACTTTCCTCTCATAATTAGCAAAGCACTCGGGGAAAATAAAGGGCCTACTCACTGCTAAACCCACCAAATGGAATGAAAGTAAAACAGAATCAGGTGTGGTTAAGGTACAGCACTGTGGGCCCAAGTGCTTCATTTTGAATCTTAGCTTCACAATGCAGTAGCTGTGTGATATTGGTCAAGTTATTTAACTTCTCAGTGTCTCCCCTGCAAAAGAGGGCTTTGGAAAGGATAAATGATTTAATGTATGAGATACACATAAATACTGTCTGTTGTATATTTTTATTCTTAACCTAGAATAACAACCCTTCCCAAAGAAATTATTTGAACTATTGTTTCTGAGGGGAGTAATGTTTTTCTTTATGGTTTAAAATAAAGTAATCTTTTCAAATGACCCAATCTAGGACCCAATGGCCCTACTCTACACTAATGTAGGACATTTTACTGTAGGTCAGAACTTTACAGACAGAAAATATTGAATTCAGTTGGAGCCCCCCAATAATGACAGAACTAATGAGAACAACAGTGCTCTAGATGAATCATTTCATCTTGACTTTATT